CCCTAAGAAAGGCCCAGGGTTTCTTAATCAGGTTCCAACATTCATGTTTCGACCACTTACTCCCCTTAAACTCACAGCTTCGTTCTCCAGCGGAGCCTGAAATCTGGGACTCCGCACTGACAGAGGACGCGCGTTTGAGGACGTTAAAAGCAAGCTGTCAGACCGGACTGTCTCCAGGAGGTGCTTAAAGTAGGCCCTGGGCTCTTAACCCACCTAAAGCCTGAAAGCCTCTCAACCGGAAGTGGTCCAAATGCACCGAACCCCACCGCAAAAGAGCATAAACCGTCGGTGAAGTCTTCGGGCTTGCGATCTTAACTGCCACGTACCTGTAGCTACTCCGGTTACCCGTTGTTCCATCATCGTTGGCAAGCGTTCTTCGTTTCCCTGTCGTTGTTTTTTCTCTTCTAGATATTCGACAGATTTACCTGCATTGGAGGAAGGAGTTCGAGGTTGCTTGATCTTCATCTTCCTTTCTGGGCACCGGGCAGTCCCAGAAAGCAGTCAAGACCGGATACCTTGGAGACCCTTGAAGCCTGGGCCCTAGTTAGCCACAAACGTAATCGAACTGGAATCCTTTCGATGCCAAAGCCGCAATCTTTTAAAAAAGTTCAACCCGACACCCTTGAGCCTACGGCTTGACTGAAGACAGCCCCCAACAGCCTGTTGACACCCTTCACGCCTTCAAGCCCTTCGGCCCTCAATACCTCCCCCCCCCCCACCACGAAGCCCTGAACCCTAACGGCCCTAACACACACTTTTGGAGAGGCGCTTTGGGCCCGCAGCAAGCGGCTCATCCGTGTGACGCCTGGGTGGACGGTGCCTCCCAAACTTATTACAGGTTGTAGAGCATAGGGATTAGAAGGCTTCCGGGAAGAGAAACCGTCGAGACATTGTAACGGTTTTAGGGTGGTGCTTACTCGTATATGATGATCGGCTGATACACACCGCTACGCACACCTTAAGACGAGATAAACCCCGTGCAGCCCAATCAGGCCTTGTCAAAGTATGGGCTTGCATGGTCCAGAGTTTAGGAGGCAGATCTACCTTTTTTGGCTTGTAAGGGTCTGATGGGGCCCTGTAGCTATTAGTTTCATTTCGTTTCCAGCTCGATGCTGCTAGTGCGGGAGCCACTCGAACAGCGCTTCATGGATCTGCTTACCTCGTAGGCAGAGAGCGCAGGGTACTAAGACACAAAGAAGAGCACGAGATTGATCGTGAGAGGTTGGCTCATCCAACAAGTGGGGTTTCCGTGCAGCTTCGGATGCCCTCGACGGGGCATGTCTCCTGCTGTTTCTGGACAGGGGATCCCCTTTTGAAGGGCCCTTGCTCTCAGGAACCAGCTGGTAAGGTGAAGGCTTACTTGGAGCTACATCCCGCAACATCTGCACCAAATCCCCCAACAATTCTGGGGCTACTACCTTCCCACACCAAAAGCAGCAAGCCAAAACCCTAGACCTTAAACGCGAAGCCCTAAAGCGAAATCCACGCTCTTGATGGAAAATGCGTGTGAACCTCGAAACAAGAAGCCGCAAAGCCTGATCCCTCAATCCTGGACACACCATCTCAAATCCAAGCTCCTAATTCTGAAGTCGTAAATTCAGACGCCGTTTAGATCCGAATTCAAAAAGTTACTACACTCCTAGCCACAGTACCCACTATCGCCACTTTGCCGCCTCGGCGAACAACTCCTCTTAAAGGCGCCGAGGCGTGCAAAACCCAATACCCTTCCATATTAATCATGGCTTAGGGTATAGGGTGTCATGGTAACGACCCGAATGAGACTAACGATGAGGAGAGAAAAGAAGAACACAATGCCGGTGTGAGGTCTGTTCAGAAAGAAACACTGCAAAACATCTTCTGAAGCCTAGAATCATGTTTACATGGTGCGAGCGGTTCGAAGCATAGCCTTCATCAAGCTTTGCGCTCGCTCTATCGATTTTTAAGATTCGCTTGCATGAGGCGGCGGTGTGCAGATTTCCGAACTGGAGTCGCGAAAGTGTTGTTTCAGGGTTTTTGATTTGGAGGAATCGTACCTTCAATTACTTTTAATTAACGAATTAGCCTTGACGACATCGGATCCGGGTCAGAGCAGTTTCCAGATTCGAGAAAGTCACAATTCTTGCTCTTTTTTTGCCGAAAGCCCTGAGCTTACTCACCCGAAAACTTCCCCTTGTAATGCGGGCCTCTTGTAATGCATCAGCATAGTGTTGCATGGTGTGATCTAGTATAGGCCTAGCCTGACAGAGCACGGCAGAGCAGAGGATAGAATAGTTTATGGTATGGCATGGTAGGGTACAGAACATGACCAGAAACGTGACTACCGTACTGTACAGCATTGTATTGTCTTGTCTTGTACTGCACGGTACTGTACTGCACTGTACTGTATTGGAATGTATGTGTACATTCGTAGTATAGTCTGGTCTAGTACAGTCCGTATTGTAGAGTTCAGGTCCCGCCTCCTCCTCACATTCAAACTGGCCTCAAGTGAGATCGCTGAGCCCCAAACCTTACACTCAAAATCCCGGAACCCGGACCCGAGCCTTTGAAGCTCAATTCTAGGGCTCGGCTAGCTAGCAACAGTGCCTGTTATAAATTAGAGCACAATAGGGTGTACCCAGCTCTGGTCTTCATTGTTAAGGCTCCTATACCAAGAGCCAAGCCCGTAGCTCTTCCCATGTGAGCCTTTCAAGTTAGTTCAGGGCCCATGAGTTCACCTTGTAGCACGGGGTCGTCCAGGCGGCCCATATAGGAAGCTGAACTTCGGGGTTCATGGTTTGTAACATCTGGGGGGGTAGAAGTACCGTAACTTGGGCTATGGCGAACTGTACCTACAGTTTCCTTGCATGTAACCCTGCTTATCCTTGCAATGCCACGGAAAAGTCTTGACGACCATGAAACCTCTCTCAACACACAGTGCCACGCCGTAACCCTTGTAGTAGTGGATGCCCGGCCTATGGCGCGTTGCTGGCGGCGAGGGCACTGGCGGCTTGCTGGTACGATCCGGACCAGGCTCGCTGAGCTGCGGGTTTCATGGGACTCCAAAGCCGCATTTGTATCGCTTCATACGGGTTTCGCAGGGGAGTACAGGATTTCATTGGGGTTCTGTCAGGCATGAGGGCTTCGCCAGTATCTTGAAGGTCTTTCGTGGCTGACGGCTTCGGGTCCCGAATCCGAAGAGCACTGTCAGGATTTCAACTGCGACCCTCAGTCCAGGGATTTTGGAGTCCTTGGCCCTTCGGTGCGTTGTCAGTTGTAGGGTTCGGAGTCTCAGGATCTACGATGAGTTGGCTGGTCAGGGTGCAGCATATAGCATTCTCTAAACCTCGAGCCCTTCGACAGCAAACTTTAAGCCACAAGCCCCCAAGCCCACTTCCCTTAAACCTAGACTCAGCCAGACCCCTCGCCCCAACCAGCAGCCCCACAGACCTTAACCCGATAAAGCCCAAACCCGTGAGCAGATCCAACCATCCTCCCAGGTCTGACCAGCGAAGAGAAGCAGGAAGGGGGTTGTAGGTGTCTTCCAGGGGCTACAGGGTTACGGTTTAGTGCGGAGTATAGGCTGATCCCTCGGGCCACAGCCGCGCCCTGTGAGAGTTGAGTCCTGAGTCTGGTTGATTTCAGATTAGGTTAGAGGGTGTTTAGGCTCATTCAGCCGCACGTCTCTGAGTCGTATGTTTTTGTCTAGTCGTGGTTGCGCCCGGTGGGTCGTGCTAATTTTGGCTCCGCCCGCGCAGGAGCGATTGGCGACGAAGTCGCTGATTCAGGAGCCGCTTGTGGATAGGGCTTCGGGTTGAGGGTTTAGGGTTTGGGGTTCAGGGTTTAGGCGGATTTCAGGCATCGGTTTTTGGCTTGCAAGTCTGCCGTTGTTTGCACTTGTCCAGCTGAACTACCGGGCCCAAGCTGCTATAAATCCCTAGCCCTAGAAGCTCATGACAACCATACCCCGGCATAAGTCTACACCTCCTGTATACCACATGCCCATGCTAACAACCTTGCAGTCAGAACTTGCAGTTTCATTAGCGAGACATTCTCCTGTGGTGAAGAGCTTTAGGGTTTTTGGGGATAAACTGCCCTGCTTTAGGGGTCTCCAGTGGAAGGCAAAAGTAGTCTTACCGAATATGCCGCCCCAGAACCTGAACTCGAGGCCAGAAGATGAAGTCGCAAGATCCGAAAGCCTGTCGTCGAAAGGCTTCAAGGCGCTTGTGGCTTCTGGTCAGGATGGCTTTAAAGCTTCGCAAGAGGCTTCCTGCACTTCCCAACAAGCTCCGAAGTTGTCTCCCACTCTAGCGG